AGGACCATGAAGAGTTTCAGGGTGCCATATTTGGTTATTTTAGTGTGCAATTTATTGTTACTTGTTACTGTTCTTCTGTCATTGTTTTTTCAAACTGAATGACATAAATCAAAATTTAGTAATTGATGTCACTGGGTTTTAAACATGTCTGAGAGAAGCCCTGAGACCGTAGATTTTTAATACATGGAAAGGACATTTGTTTTATTCTGGTCAGAATATGTTAATCGCTGGTCCTCACTGAGTTGGATATTGGCCAAAACATCAGATATAATCAGCTCAAGAATAAAAGCAATGCAGGTACCTTTGATGGATTAATGCAGGAGAAATAAGCCTAAAGCTTTCTGAAGCAAGCTAAAAATGATGCTTCAGGTTCTCTAATCCTGCCTCCTCCCCTGGCCCCACTGTGTAGCTATTTTATCCATTTAATTTGGGACAGTGCTGCCCTGAATGCTTTTGCCAGTGACATCACCTTTTAATCTTCCTTCTGTTCATTTGCAGCTACTTCGGAGCTGCAGTTCCTTTTAAGTCACTCCCCCAATATTTAGAATTTGTAGTTTCCTCAGATAATTGGCCATCTTGACAAGAAGAGTGACACAATCAGCTGTCAGATACTTTTCATTCCTGACTTCCATGCCAAATCTGACATGTGGATATTGGGATAATAATGTGTTATCTTAATTAGGTGTATCTTCATGATGCATGCTTTATAACAGATAGAGCATATGAAACTACTGCAATGCCTTGCCAGGGTATCTTTGAAATGAGATTCCCTACTTAAGGGTTTTCTTCCTTCTTAAATAAATAAAGAGTAAACGAACAATTGCAGAGTCCAAGTCTGAATCCTAGCACTTCCTGTTAAACCTCACAAAATAGTGCAAGAAACATGTTTGGTCTGCTTTCTAAGGCTTGATGATGTGATAGGAAGGATGTTGTATGTAACATCAAAGAGTGATGTTGTTATACCTCTGAAGCATGACTTCTGGAAGTCCAAGTGAAATAATGTATGTTCATTTTTCTCCTGAATATGGCAGTTTTTAACAGGCTTGGATTCTTATCAGAAACGTTCCAACGATTTCCTTCATTGTGTTTGCGTGTGCTTTTTTTTTGACTAGCCAAATTTCTCTCACACCTCCCAAGGCCCTGTTAAGTGACTCCCTGCTGGGTTTAGTTAAGAGCGGTGCCGAGCAAATTGCAAGCTGCCAAAACCGGCCAACAAACCACTGGTGATGAGCAAATGTTTCTGCTCTTTCAGCTCATGGTGAATGTTGCTGGTTTTTCAATTCCAGCCCATGATGTTCAAGTGGAAAATGGTGAAGCCTGGACTACAGACAGGCCTGAACAGTGTTTTGGACCTGAGCATAGAGAGTCTGGCAAAGGATCAGGGTGGATCATAACTTTCACACTTGATGTCTATAAATTCATGTTAGGATTAAAGTCTTGAGAGTATGCCTGGCCCAGTGATCATCCTTGAGATCGACTTCTTGGAGCTGTACGTGATGATCTCGGAGCAGAATTTAGATCTCTCTATTTATATCTCACTTAGAATGATTACAGACCTGTTTGTGAAAGACCATAAAATGTGAACCTTTAGAGAGCCCTGCAGAACAAAGTGTGTAATGCACCAAAGGTAATTCATAGGGCATGACTGGATTAATTTCTTCTCCATGTCCTCTGCTGTAGTGAATATATTATGAGTTATTGTGTTTTCCTCCCTTTCCTCCTCCAAATGTAGCCTGAGGGGAATAGAGCTGTTGCAGCATGCCTATACTGCTCTTTTTAGTGTGTCCTCATGACTGTCCTCAAACCCAAGTCCATTAACTGTCTACGCGACAAGTCCATATGCTGGCATGCACATGGCAAGAGGCTAAGGGCAAGCCAGTGACTTTCCCAGGAGGGGAGATGTGAGCCCAGGGCAAAGTATTTCCTCAGTGGAGTTTTCTCAGCAGATAGCTCTGCTGCAGTGTTCTGCTCTCCTTAGTAATCTGAAAGAGATTTTATGAAAACCAAAGCCAGTCAGGTATTAAATTGAGACAAATAAAGTTTCAATAGTTATGAAGGGTACAGAATTCCTTGTTCGTCCTGTGAATGGGATGTGCTTTAAAGATGGGAGCAGGTGACAAACTCCTAGTATTCCTGGCTGTGCCACCGATTTTCTTTAGAACTGATGTTTTTCCACAAGTTAACATTCACACTCAGGTCTTCACCTGTAAAAGGATGATACCTATATCCCAGCCACAGGCATACTTATTTATAAATCCCATTAAGAACCTTAGATGAGAGACCAAAGCCATGTCTGTATTAACAAAATGCAGATTTCAAGACTGGATTTACAGAGTGAAACAGCTGACTGTTTCAGGAGAAAGGGGACTGCTCTACAATGCTAACCAGCTCATGGGAGGTGGAGGTGATAGGATAGTTTCCTTCAAATGTGTGTTCCAGATCTGAACTGAAATGCAGAGGTAGAGGCTCCCAAAGTATCTTGTTTTTAAGTTGGAGAAAAGGCAGTCTATATAAAAGACCCAAAACATGTGAAACTGCAGTTTAATGTAATACATTGGAAACTAGTTTAATGTTACCTTTTCAAGTGTGAGAGCTCAATGGTATTTCATAACAAGCTTACCAATTTTTTTTTTCACTCTTTACAGTTTTGATCCAGCTTCACCAAATGCAGGACAAAGAAGTATAGAATAGCGAAGGGGAGACTGTTTGGAAAGAAAATAATAGAACGGCAAATAGCCTGCTGGTCAGGGCAGCCAGTGGGAACGGGGGGGGCCCGGTTGTACAGATCCCTGTTTATTCAGCATGGAACCCCTCCAACAGGAGAAATTAAGACATGCCATACATAGCCACTAATGCGCTTGTTATGAAGAAGAGTGTGAAGAAAGGGCTTGAACCTAGTTCTTCCATATCCTGTCCCTAGGGAGGGCACTAACCACCAGCTTTTGGAACTGGCAGGCATGTTGTCTTAGTGTAAGTCCTCTGCTGTGCAGTGCTAATCCCACCTTGAAGCAGACTAATCTTTCCCAGGAGACATTACATTAGAACTAGTAAATTCCTATAACAAGTTTTGGTTTGAACAAATCAATATTTTCGGAAACAGAAATATTTATTTGAAAAATTCTTAGCTTATACTTGGTCTTCCAGTCACAAAAGCCACTTTCTACCTCATTTGTATTTCTCTGATGCCCTAATGAAGATTGTGTGTCTGCTCTCCTCTGGGTCCCTCAAGCACATCGTTTAGTAGTGTGTTGCACATCTTTGTACTACTGTAGTAGCTCCCAATTGTAACCACAGACCAGGACTAACATGATGTTAAGTATGTTGCAAAATAAAAAGTTTTGTGGTGGTCCCCAAGGTGTTTGTTATCTAAATATGTTAAAAGGCTGGAAGTGGATAGTGTGGATGGAGTGTGTGTGTGTGTGTATGGAGCAAGGAAACACTAAGATAGAAATGATAATTTTAAATATATTGCTTGTCAAGGCTTTATACTACTTTATACTACTACTGTGGAAGGGGAGAACTCTAAAGAAAGGTTTGAAATGATATAATTGATAAAGATATCCATTTTCACATGACTAAATCAGCAAGAATATTAAATGTCTTAATGAACTCGAGTGCAGTACTGTGAGAGAAGGTTTCGCTGATGATTTAAAATATGACATGAATTTTTTGCAGATCTCGTGTTTTAATGTAGATGTTACTTAAGAAGGATGTGGGAAGGAACAACAGTGTCTACTTATATTCAGATAATTGTGTCTGCTTGTTATTGTTATTGTCTCGTTGCGTGCAAACTAGACTGTGCATGAGCTGGTCCTGCCAAGCAGGACAAGAAGAACACGTAGGATAGGTGATGTCCTTTAATCTAATTAGCCAAACCTAAACCAGAAAACACCTGTGTGATGCTGCTATGGCTGATGGAAGTTTAGGAAGGTGAAATATCTGGTCAGCCCACTAATTCTCTAGAATCATAGAATAGCTCGAGTTGGAAGGGACCCATAAGGATCATCGAGTCCAACTCCCTGCTCCTCGCAGGACTACCTAAAACTAAGCCATATGACTAAAAGCATCGTCCAGACGCTCCTTGAACTCCAGCAGGCTTGGTGCTGTGACCGCTTCCCTGGGAGCCTGTTCTAGTGACTGACCACCCTCTCAGTAAAGAAACTTCCTAATGTCCAACCTGAGCTTCTCTTGACGCAGCTTCATTCCATTTCCTCGTGTCCTCTCGCTGGTCACCAGAGAGAGGAGATCAGCACCCCTCCCTCTGCTGCCCCCCCTGAGGAAGTTGTAGACTTCGGTGAGGTCACCCCTCAGCCTTCTCTTCTCCAAGCTGAACAAGCCAAGTGACCTCAGCCGCTC